CTGAAGGCTTCAGTCAACACTGACTTCACCCCTCTCAGGGTTTCTCTCACACTCTTCCTCACAAGACACCCCAATCCTCCTATGCCACTTAAAGGACTCTGGAAATGAATAGTAGCTTCCCTTCACAAAAAGGTTAGAGATTCCTCCTGTACGCAATGGGACAGCCTCTATCATCTGCAAAACCAAAATTCTATCCTTCATAAAAAAATCACTTTAATAAAATAATTTAAAGAAATGAATAGAATCTTGACCAGTAATTATTCAACTAAGCTCTACCTCTGCCATTAGGCCTTTGGCAACATATGCTGGTCATTACAATCAACTCCCCCCTCTCCTCTTATTTCAATGTAATAGCTGTGAACTTTACCATCTCACTGTGGTTATCTGCACTCCTGCCAAGGTGAAAAAAGCTTTATGAAGATATTGTGGCTTTCTGTTACCTACTCCACAAGCCAGAAATCTCTGCTTTGATATGATCTGTGAGTACTTACACATTGTATCAGAGCTCATCTTACTGGAAATATTAGGACAACTCCTCTACATAGAAAACTTCATTAAATTACCCACTCCAAAGTTGGGATGCACAGACTACTTCTGAAGGGCCTTACCCACCTTAATAACTCACTTTATAAAAGCACTAGAAACTACTTTAAGTACCCAGAAAAAAGGGCTGAGTGCCTTCTGAATTCCATCATCTTTTCTAGCTCTCCTCTCAAAGTCACAAAGGAGGAAACACCAATGAAAATCAAGTTTTAGAATATAAAACAAGAAAGGTTCTTTCTTTTCAACATCCTATAGGAAAACATTTTAACATCCTCCCAATTCTCCCTCCCTAAATGTGTGGCCCAGTAGTTAGTGTTAACGCTAGGAAGTCTACAATGAAAGAATCTCTTGCTAACTAACATAGTCTGCCAGTACTTCCCTGAAGGAAAGAAAGCTCCCCTAGGATCTGTCAATACCTTTACCCTGTGAGGCCTAGCAAGTCATTCTCTTCTTTATCATCACCATCATTACTATCATCATCATCATCACAGCATTTATATAGCATTTTTAGGTTTACAAAACACTTTACAAAAATAATCTCATTTTATCTTCACAACAACCCTGGAAGGTAAATATTATTCCCATTTTGCAGATGAGGAAACTGACGCAAAGGGAATTAAGTAACCTGCCAGGGTCACACAGCCATTAATTGTCTGCGGTATCACTCACACTTAGGTCTTCCTACATCCAAGTCCTAACTGCTCACCCAGCTGCCTTCATGGCCAGCTCAATTCTATCTTCTTCACAAAATCCTTTTTAACTGGCTATACTGTTAATTGCTGTTCAAAGTATGTCAGTTTTGTCTCCTCCTCACTAGCTCCTAGGGGCATGGCTAAACTCTTACATATGAAAATCTGACTGATTAACAGTCTTGATTTTGATTATTTGCACACAGTGAGCCATGCTGCCCCAACTTGATGACAGTTGAGGTTCAGTGAAAAAGAGAGAGGGAGGGAGGGAGTAGCTGCTGTGTGTGGAACATTCTTTTCTTTCCATGGATCCTAGTTACAACCCAGAAGGAATCTAGAGGCCTGGAAGTTTTAGCCTCTCTCCATGGTCCAGGCATTGTAGTCTCCTATTTCAACCGCTATCTTTTCCAAGCAAGCGTGACCCTTCTCCAACCAAGGTGAAGAGAAATGCAATCAGAGCCACGAGATATCAGCATGAGATCTCTTTCAGTGCTTTCCTCTCACATCCCTCTTTCACCCTGCACCCTAGACACAAGACTTGAGAGTAAGGAGTTTCTACAAGAGATGCCTCTTAAAGATCAAGAAACGCCTGTACTATTTTAGCACCCCATAATGCCTAGCTCAACATCAAACATATAGTTGCCCACCAAATGTCTGAGGAATTGTTTTCACCTACTTTAGACTTGGTTTCCTCCTCTTGAAAATGAAATTCACTATGCTTAAAAAAAAGTCACTAAATCTCATATTTGCATTGACTCCACAATACTAGACGTGAACTTATACACTAAAGAGTTCAAAGATGAAGGAAAAGTTCCTATGTATACAAAAATATTCTACTTTTTGTGGTAATAAAAGAGCAGACACAAAGTAGGTGCCATCAACGGGGAAGAGCTGAACAATTTGTAGTATATGAATGTAATTCAATATTAAAAATAATGTAATTGTGTCAGACATACTGAAAATGGAAAAATCAGAGAAACTTGTCTTCCCAAATTTCTTGATGCAGAATGACAGTAACAATCCAGAGAACAATTTACATAATGACCACAGCAGTGCAAAGGAAATGTAAGGTCTCTGGTCAATGCAATGACAGAAAAAAATCTGATTTCATAATAATAATGGCAAAATATATTTCCTATGGAGGCAGCATGATCCAATGGATTCAGAGCTGGATGTAAATTCTGGGGCTATCTAGATTAACCTCATTTTACAGATGAGGAAACTGAGAAGTCAGAGGTTCAAATTCTGCCTCAGTTACTTACTACCTCTGTGACCCTGGACAAGTCACAACTTTCCTAGCTAACCAGCAGCAAAGTAGTTTTAATATCATTGGCCTAAGCAGAATAGCTCAAGAAGAGAATACAAGAGAAAGAATACTATATAATGCAATCTATCCCCGACGACCCCCAAAAAATGCCTGTGGGATTATCAATGCCACTGCTCCCCTATGGGTGACTGTGCAAAGCCTCATTCATTTTTTCACTAATTTCCTGCTATAATACAATGATTCAAGACAATTCCAAAAGACTCATGATGAAAAATGCCATCCAATCCAGAGAAAGAACTATGGAGCCTGAATGTAGATCAAAGCACACTATTTTCACCTTTTTTTGGTTTTTTGTGGCTTTTCCCTTTTGTTTTGTTTTTTCTTACACGACTAATGTGGAAATACGTTTAACATGATTGCACATGTATAACCTATATCAGATTGCCTGCCATCCTAGGGAGAGGAGACGGGAGGAGAAAAAACTGGAAACTTAAATCTTGTAAAAAAAAATGAATGTTGAAAATTATCTTTACTTGTAACTGGAAAAAAAAATAATGTTTACAAAAAAAAAACTTCCTGCTGTGTGCACTCAGTAGGAGGGAGTCTTCTCATAGACAATTATACAAAATACAATTAATAACAAACAAGAATTTGCCAACAATATAAAACAGCATTTGTGGTCAATGAAAAATTGGCATTTACCTACATTCTGTTTTAAGAACATGAAACACAGCTACAATTGCTATTTTTTAAAGAGAATTATTTTCCCTTTTTTCTTCCTCCTATAAAATAGAATTATTTTCCCCTTTCTCTTCCTCCTATTAACTTTTAGGCCTTAATAGAAAAAAACAAAAGAAGAAGCAGAGTTGTGGAAATTTTGCATTTTCAAAAGCTATTTGGAAATAATAAATCCAGTCTCTTCAAACCACAGTTGAAAAAACATGTCGAATGAGTAAATATTTATGTTAGAATTCTTTCCAACTTCATAAAAACCCATTTCTTTTTCTTTAAATTTATAAAATTAAACACTCTTAGCTAAAAAAAAAATCAGCTTTGATGCCATAATAAACTAGCCAAGAAGTATTTGTTGAGCACCTGCTATCTGTCAACCACCATAGAAGATCACAAGCAGAATGATCTGATCTCTCCCCTCAAAATCTCAATGTGAAGGACCAACACATACAAAACAATGTCACAAGACAGAGTACTGTGTCTAAGGGATAATAATAGGGATAATAATAACCATAACTAAAACAACAATATCTAGGTACCACCTTCTATGTGCAGGTATTATGCTAAGTACTTTATAAATATTATTTCATTTGATCCTCATAAACATCCTGGGAAATAGGTGCTGTTATTATCTGTATTTTACAGTTGAGGAAACTAAGGCAAATAGAAGTTAAGTGATTTGCCCAAGGTCTCAGTGAATGTCAGAGCCTGGATTTGAAATCAGGCCAGGAGTCCTGTACTCTATCACTCACTGCATCATCTAACTGCCTCTAAGGTAGGCTTTAAAAGATCTAAATCTGACTTGGATTTCAAAAGCCAAGGGAGATAAAATTAGGAATCATATGTCAAATTCAGTGCAAAGAGTCAAAGTCAGGATATGTTTGCCTTTGCTTTCCGCAATGTGCCCAAATCAGTTTGTGGACATGATAGTTCATTTATAATATCCAAATATCCAATTTCCATATGACATTTAGAAGCACAATGAATTTGGAGGGGAAAAAAGAACAGAGAATTGATTCTGAAGGAACCAAATGAATGATCAAGAACCAATAAGACAGAATCATAACAGAAAGTACAAGAGCTTTGACTTCCATTACTCTCATTTTTTTCTTATTAGGAGCTCAGTATTTCGAATGGAGAAGTGTTCACTTTCCCAGACAGCTCAATTATGGAACCTGCCCTACTATCATTGTCCCCAAGGATACCGTGTGACATCCTTCTTTCCAGAACTTACAATGTGTCAGCCAGTCCATTACACATAGGTCACAAAAGAGTTCTTGGCAATCAATGCCATTCCTGGCCAGGGACCTGAGCTGGCTTTTAACCAGAAACCTTAAGGTGAAAAGCTCAATATCCAATTACCAATCCCATACGCCAGAGGCTATCAACAGAGATTATTTGCCATTCATGAAGGACCATTCACATATTCTCCCATGACCCCACATTCATGAGTCCTAAGACACAACTTTAGGGTTGCAAATGCTTATAAACTTTCCAATATATAACCTTCTCTTTTCTATTCATTTGGCTTCCTTAAAAAGATATGCTGGACAAGGATTTTATATTACTTAACAAACCCAAAGAAAGGGAATTATCCATTTCTTCTGGTACCAAACATCCCAAAGTCACAAATCACTGGGTATAATACTTTACCGGTATCAAAAAACACCACACTGTTTCTTACATATAATATTTTTAATGGAAAGACTGCAGAAATGGAATAACTTAACCCAACCACCTATAGAAGAGTCTTCTTAAGCAAAGCTTACCTTATAATTACTAGAGTTCACCCAAGAAGTGGCAAGTCCATCCACAAGCTTATCTAACATGGTCTGATCATGTTCAAGATCGGCAGACTTCTGCTTGTCTGAGAAATAGTCTATTAGTTCTTGGCCCACTTGTAGTCGTTTCCCCACATCTTTCTGCAACACCTGTGCCAAGCAAGACTCCATTCGGTACTCCATGGTGGAATTCAAATACAGCCCAAGCCAGAGAAGCTAGAGGGCAGTCAGGCTGAATCCCCCACTAGGAAGGCTTCCTGGAGGCTGCCTCTTTGTTTGACAAAGGTTACTGAAGCCTTGGTTTCAAAGATGCAATCTGGGGAATGGCAACAATGCACCATGTGTGTCTCAAGAGCAGCTGGGAGGATATTAAAAGTCCAATTTAAATAACTAGCAGGAGATAAAGTATTGAGTAGCGCAGCAATACTATGCTATTGGCTCTAGAATACTTCATAATTCAGCAGTCCATTCTGAAAAAGAAGAAAAAGAGGAAAAATCAGTAGAGATTAAGCAGGCATAAATGTTATGAAACATCAAAATCAGGGACAGAGTAAAACACATTGTAGAGTGAGTTATAATTATGTGTGGAGTGAGAAACATTAACATTCGGCAACCAGATCTGAACAGCATAATTATTATTTTTATCAGAATATACATTGATACCCAAAGAAGAGAAATAATGAGTTCCATAATGAACATATGATTTTCAGAATTTTATAGCATATAAATGCAGTTGGCATGAAAGCAGTCTTTCCCCCTTTAGCACACAATTTCAAGCTCAAATCTTAACCAGTCTGACTCATTGCAAGTACAGCAGTTCACTAGTTTAAGTTCATTCTTTGAAATAACCAAAGAACTGGAAACAGGGGCACCTCCCACAGAAATATTTGACACCATTTTGCCAGCCTGACCCCATTAACTTAAGTCTGCCATGTGGGACCTGCCTTCTAATTGCAGTCTTTGCAATGTTGGTGTACAAGCTGCCCAGCCTCAAAGTAAGAAGAAATTTGGTCTCTGTCACTTATCCCTCTAGTGGATTACCAACCCAAGCCTATCACAATATGCACAACTTAAAATAGCACTACTTTTGCTTGATGAATTATTATGCCATTAGGAGAAACACTTTATGGGAGTAGGGCCAAGGGGCCAAACATTTGAGTGTAGAACAAGTCAGATTAAAATGTAATTGGGAAATATTTAACAAAATAAATATACAATAAAACAAATATTACACTTTAAAACTAATTCAATATGCGCCCCAAAGGGATCTTTATGTACAGTTTAATGGTGCTGTTTCTATTTGAGTTTGACACCACTGTATGTACAGCACTGGTTACCAACCTTTGGGTATTAGGAACTTTTTTTAAACATTAAAATATTTCACAAACACTCACAGTATAGTAGCTATAATCTATGGCTGTTTGGGATGTGGTAATTCCAATTCAGAACACAGGTTAGGAAACAATCATTTATGCATTAAAAGTGAGGGAATGTGGGAAAGAGAGGAAAAGCTTCAAAATTGGTTAGCTGAATTTTCCTTATAAACTAGCTAGCTCATTAACTTGCTAACTGGCTGAATAATCTTTCACACTAAATTATAACTACTGTTATATCCTTACTCAGTTATTAATAGTTAATGACTCAATTCCTACTTCAGAAATATCAGTCTATTCAATTCTTCCCGCCATAATTTTGATTAAGCCTAGCATCTTAATACCTGCCCTTCTCCCTTCCAATAAGGGAGCATTACTCATACTACAGATGTACGCCGACACACACTTTCTGAAATCTCTAATGTGTGTGTATGTGTATAATATATATGTATAAGATATTGACATATATATATATATATATATACATATATATATATATATATATATACACACACACACATACATAAAAAAGGGGGCAACCTTGGATTCAGGAACATCTAAGATCATGTTCAACTCCTAAGGGGAAGTCATTTAAATCACTTAACGCCATCAGTACAAACAAGTTAACAGAGTAGGTAGTGAGCTGTTCTGTTTGAGGGAACTTCCTCATCTGGCATGCTCTATAGTAATGAATATCACAAGCCCAGTCCAAAATTTTTTTTTTAAAAATCTAAACTTAGGAAATAAAAGAAAAATGGAGGGATGATTACATGCATTATGAAAAGATTCACTACAAAATTCCTTTGTAACAAGCTCCCCTAGTAAATAATAAACAGAATTTCAGAGTTCAAAAGGACTTAGAAGCTAAATAGTGTAACCCAGATCCAAATAAGAATCCTCTTTATAGTATACCCAACAAAACATTATCCACCCTTTGCTTGAAGACCACCGATGAGAGAGGAACCTCTATTTATCTCCCAAAGCAATACATGCCACAACTAACTAGGTCTAATTGTTAGAAAATCTCTTGTATTAAACACTAAATTTTCTTCTTCACAACCTCTTTCTATAACTTCTAATTCCGCCCTCTGGGGCAAAAGAGAACAAGCCTAACCATTTAAACAATAAACAATTATTAAGTATCTCTTATGTGCCAGACATTGTGCTGGGGTTAAGGAAACAAAAGAAAAGTGAAACAGTTCCTTCCCTGAAGGATCTTACATTGAAGAAAACATTAGGAAATAGTCAGCCAACCAGCCAGACACACATATGTGCGAAATAAATATAAGCTAATGTGTAAAGAAAGAACCTAGCAGGTGGGAGAAGAGGAAGACAGAGACCAGGAATGGCCTTAAGTAGTAAGACGTGGTATGTATGCCGAGTTTTGAAGGAAACTGGGCATTCAAAGAGGTGAAGGTAAAGAAGGAATGCAATCCCTCTTTCATAAGGGATGTTAGCTGTCATGTACTCTCCTAAGTCAACTCTTTCTTCTCTAGACTAAACATTTCCATTTTCTTCAACCAGTCATTAGGCAGCATGATTCTCAGCCTCATCACCACTCTGGCTCCCTTCCTCTAGACACTCTCCACCTTAAAAAGTGTACCCTAGAACTGAACACAATACTAGATATGGTCTGAGCAGGGCAGCAGTCATGTATACTGATGCCTCTCTTAATTCTTAAAATTTTGTTCACTTTTTTGGCTGCCATATCATGCTGCTGGTGGACATTCAACTTGTAGTCTACTAAAAAATCTCAAGTTCTCTTCCATCTGACGCGACCTCCCCTATTTTGAACCTGTGAACTTAATTTCTGACCAGTAAAAATTACCCAGTAACTGGTAAATATTGCTCTAAGGGGAGTAGAGGGGGAGGCCAAAGGACAAGAGACTTGTGTTCTAAATCCCAGCTCCATCACCTAACTATGTAAGTAATCTTGGCCTTCTTAACCTTGGTTTCTTCACCTATAAACAGAGAAGATACCTGCCTCGATTACATTACAGGTCTGTTGCTACATAATGCTATATAAATGCAAAATAGTTTTATTATTAAAGCATTATGGGGCAGACTTTATAAAATGCCTTAATGAACTCAAGAACTCTTATTATCTATTGCATTTCCTTGATTAGAGCAGTCTAGTGAGCCTGACCAAAAAAAAATGAAAGAAAGAACATAAAATAAAAGAATAGCAGTAAGATTAGTCTGCCAATTCATTAACCACTTATGGCCTCTATAGCTTACCTAACAATATTCACATTCTGCCTTTTATTGTTAGCCCTTTATGTGTATGTCATTCCTCCTGAGAGCAGGCAGCTTTCAATTCATGCTCAAAATCATGTAATCATAGAATCTTAAAATAGGAATGAGCCTCAAAAATCATTTAGTCCAAATTCTTCATTTTACAGACAAGGGAACTGTATCTAGCCACAATCCCAAATACAATGGGTGCTACAAACATTAGCAGACAGCAGGCTTTTGTTGAATAAATCAATTGTACACATTTTAGGTAACACAATAAACGGCTAAGCTGTCTAGCCCAGTGATTCTCAAAGGGTAGATCCCTGAAGATCCCTCAAACTCTTTCAGGGATTCCATAAGGTCAAAATTATTTTCATAATAATATTAAGATATTTTACTTACCTTCTAGTATAGTAAAAATCAATAGAAATAACCCAAATAATAACAAAAGCTTTTGGGGAGGAGTCAATAATTTTTAAGAGAGTAAAAAACCACTGGTCTAGTCTATTCAAAGAGGGGAAAACAAAGATGTTAGTCTGTAGAAATAATTACCTACCAATATAACATCAAAATGTAGGATGTAAAATTATCATCAGAGAAAAGAAAATCAAAAATACGTATTATATTTTAAAACATGTATTCTTAATAGCTAAAAATTTCCACTCTGAAGACCAAGACTTCAGAGGATCTTAGACCAAGTGCCTTTCTTTTCCTCCTAAGAGAAATATGCGCTCATCTGGAATTGGAAAATGATAGTTAATATCCCCTTTCCCCACCCCCCCAAAAAAAAGCTTCTTGATTTTTCCAAATGACAGAGTGATGATGTCCTAAATCTGCTTCATTTCAGAGACGAGGCCCTCTGAAAGTTATTTACAAAACCATCAAAGTTGTAAAGTCTCAATATTGGGGGTAATTTTCTAGAGCCAATGTCTGTTCTTCCATAATGTATACCAAAAGAAGGCTAACAGCTACCAAGAGCTATTATATCCTAACACCTATTATAGTGGGCAAGGTCAATGAAGAAGCCATTATATACTCTAAATCTAATCTGAGCCTTTTCATCTCATACCTAACACTTGCTCAGAAAGCACTCAATAATTTTCCACCCTCCTCTCATAAACCATCATTCACCCCTAAATTAAAAGAAGTCTCCTCCAAAGCAATTCCACTAATTCAAGGGATTTAAGTCCTGTATTATGTCCTCAAAACTCCAATGTTAACAAGTAGCCAGGAGTTAGCCTAAGGCTTTTCATGCCCCTTCAAAAATAAAAAGAGAAACAGAATTTCCAGTCATTTCCCTTCCGGCTTTCAAACTTTTATTATTAGAAATTTGTCCTACTTTTTAACTCTGACACACTGAAAAGAGGTTAGACTGTACTAGGGCCAGGAAACAAGCGTCAAGGAAAATAAAGCCCAACTAAGTAAAAATGAGAAGATTCCTGTCAGTATTTATCTAACCAATTCAATTTAGTCATGTGTGTGTGTGTGTGTGTGTGTGTGTGTGTGTGTGTGTGTGTTGCTATCTGTGGCCGTAACTCTTCCATTGGAGCCACATGACTTTTCTCTCAGTAAATATTTGTCAGGAAACAATTTGCGCCATAAGAACTCAGGGGAAACTTAGAATTGGCCAGTAACAAAAAATATGAGATAGATTACTGGGCTCACAAGACACAATACACAAAAGATTCACTTTCCTTATTTTTTTCCTTTTAAGATAAGAGGGCATCACTTCAGGGCTGTATCCCAAAGAAATCATAAAAATGGGGAAAGAACCCACATGTACAAAAATATTCATAGCAGCTCTTTTTGTGGTAGCAAAGAATTGGAAATTGAGGGGATGCGCATCAATTGGGGAATGGTTG